CTTGGTCTCGGCTTTGGTTATCAAGTCGGCATCAAGTTACATAAATATGACAAATCGGTCTAAACATAATATTGGAACGACTAGACACTTTTCTAGAATTTATTCTGTCTTATTCATGGCAGTCGATATTTGAAAGTAGACCATAGTTAACCATCTTCTTAAACCTCATCTTCTCATTCAATTAATGCGTTGATCTGGTATAGCAAACGAAGCTGCGGTGGACACGCCTGGTGATTTGGCAAAGGGCAAGTTTTTGCAGAAAGTGAAATTCCTCTGCTCTATTAAGGGTTCGCTATTCCACGAAAAAGGGAACTGAAAGTCATTACTGTCGCACACAAGTGACCATAAACTGTGCATCATTTTCACTTACTCAACTTCCTACCAGCCATCAGTCGCCCTGCATCTTCGGCGCTATGGTCATCAAAAACATTTGACATCCTACCTCGTTTGTCCACAGATTCGTCAAGTTATTCTGATTCCAGTACCAAGTTGGTCGTTGCCAGTGGGCGTCTGATTTTATTACTCTGTAACGGGAACTTGTTATTCTTCTAGCCCCAAGCTCATCTTTCGGTTCACTGGCCTATCCTCGTAATAGCTGATACAATGGTTATCTATCTTCTTGTCGGATCACCTGTTCTACTTTCACCTAATTTTCCACCCAACAACCTATGATCCACTGCCTTAATACACTTTCTACTCACCATAACTAAATCTCATAATAGCTTTAGTCTCTATGTTGGTAAGGTTAAGTTTGGGCTAATAGTTGAATTTCTCACATTTAAATGAGTAAGCCTTATGGTGCCGTTAAATTTGATTGCGGAAAAATGTATTTGCTACTTGGTCATCTGCATTTTGCCTTCTTAATCCTCCACAAATTAAGAATCTATTGACGTGGCAATCGCCTTGTTGCCCATACTTTCTCAGCACTTATCTCACCCTAATAGCCAGTCATCCATTGGCTGATTCGCCTGACTGCCTGACATCTCTTCCACCCACCTTCCCATATACCGCCCATTTGCTCGTGTCTCTTTTCTTACATAATCATTTCCCACTATTCAGGTGGTGCATGCCTCCATTTGGCTGGTGGGTAAGCTATGCTCCAACCCGGATGCAATGGACCTAATGTCTCGTCTTCGTCCTGACCTCTTGCATACCCCTGAACTCCTCAGCTTGGCGCTTTCTCTACGCCTCTGTCCGACGGCAACTTCAGACGATCTCTCCGCTGCATTGACCTCTTCCTCAGCCACAACTTGGCAAACACCCTTCGAGGCGGTCAGCACAGAATCTGGTTCCCAGGCCGTTGGACAAACTGAAGAGACCGTCCCTACCTCCACCTCTACCCCATCCTCCAAAGCCGGTGAGGGAGCAGAGGTTGTCTTTGAAGCGGGAACCCTGAGTCCCTTTTGTATCCGGTTCCTGCTCGACCTGGTGCGCCTCTTCAACGAGAAATCTGAGATGTTGACCAGTCGGGGCGAAATGATAATCACGTAGGCAATCTTTTCCATTTGTGAGTACACACCTCCCATGCTCATCTAAAAAGGACATCCGTTGTGCTACAATTCAGTTTGCCCAATCGTTTTTGCCAAAAATTGGTTAAAGCATCGTATAGAACCGTGAATCCATTCCTCAATAAAATTTATCAAAAGATTAGTCAGTAATGGTAAGGTTAGGTCTGTGTATGTGGGGAGGGAAGCTTGTCAAATGGTGGTTAGATCTATGACATTTCTACGATCAGTCCCAACCCTGATTTAGGTCATTTTTATGGCTTGATTTGGAGGTCTTTATACTTACGAACGCCGCTTTTATGGGACAAAGCAAGATTAACCATATGACTATGTGGGGATACATAATCAAACAAATTTATTTTAAGATATGAAGACCAAAATGTTGTGGCCTCTAGTATGGTCGCAGTCTCCCTTCGATTTATAGAAGTGGGTTGGCGTCGTCGTTAACTTGGTCTTGTTGTCAGGGCGACTTAGTACAATGCACCTAGTCCGAAGTTGTCTGCCATAGTATTTGTCATAATTCCCAACATCAGACAGTGGACTTGGTACATTCCCATCTATCAACTCTTTGCCCTCTTATCCAACTCCCGCCCTATCACAACTTATCACTTGTCTACATTCCACTCGTCTTGTCTCTGACGAGTTCGTAGCTTGGTGCGGAGAATGACACCACTCACTGATGATGCCGACTACAATGCCGGCTGAACGTTTGAGAGTGTACCAAGTCCACTGTCTGATGCTGGGAATCATGATAACTACTGTGGCAGACGACTTCTGACTGGATGCGTTCTACTAAGTCGCCCTGACAACAAGACCAAGTTGCAACAACGAGGTTAACCCACTTCTACAAATTTATTTTAGCCCATCCTATGTTTTTTTTATCGAGAAAAGTATTAAGCCTACATGGTTTCATTTCCACTATCTGAACCCAAGTTCGGCAATAGACAACTTTAGGCACTCGCATAAATTTTGCCTTTTTAAGAATAAATTGGTGATTTCTTATTGTTGCACCTTTGCTTCCATTCTAAAATTTGGATTGCAAGGATTCGTAAATTTGCTCATCTACATATCTTGCAGTTTTAATTGGTGGCTTTAGCGAAGAATTACCTACGCACGGTTCTCCGGCCCGCCGCTGTGGCAGACATCGTCCTTGCATTAAACCATCACTGGACAAACTTCACCACACACCTAAATTTACCATTCTTAATCAAAGGTATGAAGACCAAGATGGTGTGGCCTATAGTGTGGTCGCGGTTTCCTTTCGTTGTATATAAGTTTTTCTATCTTTTTTCTCAAGTTGATCCTATTTTCAGGACGAAAGCGAGCAGCGCACCATGTCCGAATTCCATAATGTGCATGCCAATTTCAAGAATCGGATCGTGGATTTGGTACATTCACAGACATTTCGCCGGCATTCTTATTGAGTCTTGCCAATCTCAGCAACAACAACTCGTCAAAAAGACAAGTGAAGTCGCTTCTTTGACCAATTGTCAACTTCTCGTGCTTCTATCCATAATGCCAAATCTATGACTTCCCATTCCATAGTTTCTCGTATGCCAACCCTCAAATGTTGTTCTATTTATTTTAATCAGACACACTATAGACATCTCATCTCTTTCTGATTTTAAGTTTCTATGGATCGCCCTGACAATACGACCAAGTCGTGAAGACAAGGTCAAACAACTCCTTCCCATTCTTGATTAATAGTTTGGCAAATATTATTGAAGAGTGAATTCACGCTTAGACCTTGCCTACTACAGCGAGACATGAAGGCTAAGCACACATGAATCGGGTCTGTACGACGGTGCGCTGAGGAAATCTTTGCTCCAATCAGCAGTATGAACAAGGCAAGCCTCCCTTGATTGCCAACCCGACTAATTTACGAATAACTAAACTCACAAGTGCTGTTAACGTTGTTGAACCCGATACATGCTTTTACCGACAAGGGAAGGTCCAAAAATTGAACTTAAATACACAAGGAACTTGAATGCAAGAACTGGAGTCTAGATGAGTGAACTTAAAAGTAGTTTTGCAGATTTCCATTCAACAATGATTTCCTAAATCACAGACGGGAGCCAATTTCCAGTCCAGGCTAAGTTAGGCTGTATATACGAAGAGTAATCGGATTTCGATTAATCTCCTGAGACGACGTTGTTAGGGAGACTGATTTTTTACGAAAGTGCATAAAGAATAGATTCGTAGGTTGATCTCACCAGAAAACGACTGCTGAATCCCGTTTTACCGCGGCCGTTTGGCTTTAATATGACGTTAAGGTTACCGCAGTCCATTAGACATCCTCATTCATTTCGGGTGAAAACGAGATGTCCTTTCTTCTATCATTTGATGGACGATAACAATAGGTTAAGAAGAGTATCCGCCTGTATCTTATCTCTTGTATATACTCATAACTAAAAGGCGAAAATGAATATGCATAGAGAGATATGGAATGATTTGATTCATTATCTTTTATATTAATTCTGCTACTTTTGCTCGAGTGTCAATATGTGTGTTTTAACGTCTATACGCACTACCGGTCCTAAATCAGAGTAATCAACAACAAAAAGCTCTGACCATGACTGCGTAATTCCATAACCAATTACGGTTGAGCTAATTAGATGTTAACTAGCAAGTGTGTAAGGCAGGTTATTAAACCAGCTGTCCTGACCTCTCAATCTATGATCATTAAAGCTTAATCACACAATGAAAGGCATGACCAGGGCTGCGAATTCTGGTATGTCTGGTTTGGTTGATGAAGTTAATCTAATATGCTGGACGAGTGCGTGTGAAGTTAGAACCATCACTGAGCAGACCGGTTGAGTCATCTTCTTTTGGACTGCGTCTCAACATCTC